CTTAAAAACGATGCCAATGCGACCAGCCACAAAGAGGCCACAGGGATTTTGGGAAGACCAATTTTAAAGAAATGAAAGGGATGAAAGCTTATCTTCGCATGTTCTGTCCTGGATCCAGAGAGGGCTCCAGGAGGGAACCTTCACAACTTTCTGCACATCACCATGTTCCAGCAAACACAAGATGATGAGCTAATCATTACCATCTCTGCAGCTCACTGCAGAGCAAGTACGAAGCAGATAAAAAAGAATTCCTTCCTTTATTTCTATTTTTAAATATTCGGAGATGCTCAGTGAGAGAGACTTGACAGTTTGACATTTCATCTGCTCCAGCACATGTGTTTCAAGGAGTAATTAGAGATCCATAACCATACCTCGATTTCTGGTCAAAGATGCCAGAACCAACAGATTTCCAGTAAAGTCAAGAAGTACCTTTGGTACATTTTAAATGAGGTACCTTCAGCCAACAGTGAGAATTTTCATCTTGCTAAAATTTTCTTTCAGCCAACTTTAGCTGTCCTGTTAGCAATTTATCAGCATAATTAACACTGTTGTTCTCATCAAATGGAGAAGAGTACCCAATACTGGGGATATCAGACACAAAACTGTCATAGCCCCTGATCAACCTGGAAAATGCTTTACAGAAGCCTCAGCAGCCTCTGCAGCAGAAGGTCGAGAGAGCTTAAAAGGTCAGCAAGATGGGCAAGATGTAGAAATCTAACCCCGTGATTGGGTCATGTCACAGCTGTAACATAAACTCATCAGAAGAGAACTAGCTGATGCCAGCAGGAAGAAGAGAGAGAGTAGATGGCCAACACGATGTACACACACCACTTCCCCTTCTCAGCTTCATACTGAAAGCCTGAAGAAAATGGCTATGGATTAAATTCATAAAACATGAGCACCACGCTGCAATACTTCTTTGCAGCATGTAACAGAGGAATTTTATAACACAGGCTGTGGCCAAGCCCTGTATTTTCATCAAGATATGGGTCGGTGTCACTGAGCAACTAACCTCTCCAAAGTGCCTAAGAAATCATGGAAATGAAACTCACTCTTTGGGTGACAACGGTTGGCATCTTAATAGACTGGGTTACAATCCATAGTTTATGCTGTTTCAGACAAATGAGGCACTGGTTCAGGTCTACCACGCTTTTTGGATGACAGAAGAATCTGGGTATTTCACCAGTAATAATAGTTTGGATAGAGATAGATATTGCGGTGTATTCAGGTAATCTGTCTATCCCTGAGCTGACACAGAATTTTACTTTAACAGAAATAATTCCTGACTTAAAGCTTAACAGTATATTTTTGCCTTTGTCATATTTCTCTTTCACAGAGTCTGGGCTTTCCATTAACATCAATGGGATTTTGCAGTTAGAGCGTGAATGCAAAAGTATACCTCGTAACATGAATTTAGAAGAAAATGGTTTCCTTACTATTTTATACAATTAAAGTATTGTTTTTAAACACATTTTGGAAACTAACCTACAGTAAACAAAGATTTATTGTAACATTAATAAACAATGAGACAATTACAGCCTCTTTAAGGAGACCATATTAGTCATGCGTGTCTAATGAAGCATTACTAAGCTATCACAGCAAGATAGCCTGATGTGTGTGATTAACAAAATAATACTCATAAATAGCTAATGAACAATGATGGGCCTTTAAAAAATTTGCATATCCTGCTATGTGGAGTTCAGGATTTTGTTGCTTTCGCAGTGCTGAAGATGCATTACACTGCCTCATGTCTACGGTGCAAACTCACAGCAAATCCTCCTTTGTAGCCTTCTTAAATAAAATCTTGCCAAATATTATTCCATTTTCAACCTAGCCTCCTTCATGGATAAATTTACTCAAAGGGCAGTATTCCTGACGGCTGGAAAAATGGTATGATTAAAATCAATATTTTTTGATGAATATTAGGCCTGGAACCTATTAGAGCTATAAAGTGCAGGAGAAGAAAATCATGCTTATGATTTTCAGGAATAGCCCGACTGCAGCCCTTCATCTGTAATGAATTATGGAGCAATTCTCCTAAGTCATCTGTATGAAGTCAGCTATGACATTGCCAATTTTTAAAAATTTGCTAGTTTTGAGCTACAAATTGATTTTTTATTGTGATAAATTAAAATCCAATAGTAGCACACAAGATAGCAAACACAGAGAAGCCTATATTTTTTCAGAATATTTTTCTCTCTCTCATATCTCATCAGACTGCCGTTGTGGAAGACATGACACCAATAGCTAATGATAACAGCTAGGAAAGGGCATCCTAGAGAGGTAGGCAGCCTTTCTAAACAAACAATAAAAGAGCACTGTGACCCAAAACAGCATTCTGGGAATCCCAAAATTGCAGAAAAACACAGGGAAGAAGCCTTGGCAGGGGGCTGGAGGGCAGTGAAAGGAGAAAGCAAATGCAAGATTACCCAGGCTGTTACATATTAAGGGCATATTTTATTCCCTGTTGCACAGATCTGAGCATCGGACTCCAAACTTTACAGACTCTTATGTGGCCATCAGATCTGTGGGTGCAAACTGTGACCTTTTTGCAGTCCCCTTTCCTTTCCTTCCCAGGGGAGCAAACACACACACATCCAGTTTCACCTGCTGGAGATTCTCCCTTTCACCTCCACATTGAGAACGAGATTATCACTGCCTAATTGCACTGAACTTATTTTGTCTGGGGATGCAGCTGATGGTACGGTGACTGTGAGGAGCTGGCAATGAAGTCCACGCAAGCCAGCTTTTAAAAGCATGGAAATGAAAAGCACGACGCTCCTGCTTTCAAAAAGTCACGTTAAACCTGCCGGAGAAAGCACCCCACATCCCTTTGTCACAGTCCTATTTCAAAAATGACAACCCAATAGTCCCGTACATCACTCCGGCAGCTCAGGGGCAGACATCTGGAAGGTGGATTTAAAGCTTTCCGTCTATGGCTCAGTGAGTGAGTGACAGAGCTGCTATGAGGATGATATAGTTATGTCAGATTTAGAGTACAGGGTGTCAGAGTTATGAAATCTTCGAAGGAGACTTGTCATGTCCCCACCTCGCCAGCTGCAGATGTGAGCGAGCAGGAATGCTGCAGGAGAGGCAATCTGGCTGAGCGACAGCTTTATTTCTAAAGGCATCCCTTTTCTCAGTGCTGCTTTTATGAAAATAAATCCAACATTTGTGAAACACTCAGAGATAAGTGCCACAGGACAGCAGGTCTGCCTCCTTCTTCTTTTTTATGTTCCCGAGACTAAAAGGAAAGTAACAGCTGCCTTATTGCCCTTTGCATGGGGTGTGGTGAGGCACCTGTCTGCATACAAGAGAAAAAGAAAACAAAACAGTGATATATCGTTTGTGGAGTGAAAACTTTGCTCCATGCACTGAATGAAGCTGGTATTCTGTGACAAAAGAAAAAAAGAAGCTATGCCATCATGTAGTTAAATACTATTGTAATGTCTACATGCTGGAGGACTCAACCACGACTGCTCTGCCAGCCCCAATTCTGACACTTCCCATCTTCTAGGCACAGGCTGTAATCTCAGCAATGTTCTCTTAAACACTGCTTTTATATGATTACTTTACACATGCAGTACACAGCACATTCCAAACGAGCTCTTCATTACTAACTACTTGTATTATGTATCAGTGAGCTCAATGACATTGATTTTCTAATAATATAAATTAACTGGCAAAGATAATTTCATCTATCATCAGTAGGGTTTTATTTCTGGCATCGTGTTAAATAGTTAATCTTTCAAAAGATTAAATCAAGAGCCTTTTAAAATTCAAGGCAGAGCTTAAACTGCTATAAAAATCTTCTTAATTAGGATTAAAACAGTTTGTGTGTTGTGCCTTTATATCTAAGTAGTATAATGTTTTGCTTAGCTTTCTTCTTTCAAAGCAGTTAAAAATAACCAAACATGTTAATTCTGTGGCAAAAACTGCACCAGACAGTGTAGTCTGCATCTTGCTTGACCCAATGCTGCCAGGAAAGTGGCTGCTTGGCAGCCTCAAAGTGCATCCCCAAAGTAAAATACACCGTAGACCTTGGATCCCATACAATATACATATTTTTTCTAATGATTATGTTTAAAATACACCAATTCTCACGTTTACTGCATATCTTACAAAAGACCGATGTTGCTGCTTATCATAGAATCATAGATTTAATAGATCTCTTGCCTGGGTTACTGACACTGAAGCTACAAACAACCGTAATCTAAACTATGGGATAGCTGTAGACTGCAGCAGCAGCGGCTCTTGGATTTCTGTGTATTGTTAGCCAAGGCACAATGGTAACTCACGTGGCCTGCTGGACATCAAACAGATGAAGGAAAAGGTCCCTCCAACTCAAATTATTCTGCAAAACCCAACAAGGCGTGTGCAGCTCCTGCTACCCTTCATCTTTTCCATTGGGAGAACAAGCTTCACTCAGCTGGCTTTGCCCACAACTCACCTCAGCTTCCCATGTCACACGTAGCCCAATCCAAGCCAATCTCAATCCTAAACCTTTGCCAAAAGACTCTCAGAAGTCGTTTGCCCTCTGCTGCTGAGCAGCCTAAAGCTGCACCTGGAGGAGTGGTGGGCTGGGCACACACTGGATGAGGAAGCCCATAAGGGTGACATTACCAGCCTGCAAATGGACTGCTGGTATTTCCAAGAAGCAATTCTGGGGTCTGGCAGAAGGAAAACAAATAACTCCTTGCCACTTTCTGGCCTCAGAGCTGCAAGTGTCGATGCACATAAGGAGCATTCATGTACTCAAGTAAATTGTTCTGCAGAAGTAGCCAGGACAAAGCTTTACAATAAACCACATCCCCATGCTACACTTTACAACTCAGTCATCTAATGGCTTGTTCTGATATATGATAACCCTTTATCAAGCTTGTCAGAAGTTTTATGTGTGCCTCCACTGGTGAGATATTACTGCCCAGCGAGGAAACGCTTTTAAAGGAACATCCATGAAGAGATTCAATTTTGTGCCACTGTGTGGCTGTTTTACTTACCCCTGTCTTTTCGTCGAAGATTTTGATTCCACCAAAGGAGACTGTTAAGAAGATTTTTTGTTTATGCTCTCCTTTCGAACGAGCCGCAGCAACAATCCCCTGTTGAAACAAAAAACACTTGGGCTGGTTTCATTATTCTCCTGGTTTTGTTTTCTGACAGGTGCCCACAGCAAAGCGTATGTTGACAATTCATCACTTTTCCAAGAATACTTAAGGGCTCTCCAGGAACAGTACCCCTTTACTTTTGGTCTTTTCCCTTTTCTAAAGGCACCGCATCCCTTTTATGCTAACCAGAGATCACTGCAAACCGTGCTCCCACTTTCAATCCCTATATTAGCTAATCCTCTGTGAAATTTGTTTTCTTGAAAGTTGAAGGTCATTTCTAGTGCGCTTTTTCCAGCTGTAAGCCATTCTGTTTTCTCTTTTTATTGCTTTTTTTTTTTAAGGTAAGAAATACAACAAAACCCATAATGAACAATCAGTGGGGAAAAAATTCCCATGACTTAAGCTCACTTCATGGGTACACACTTACCTGGAGTAAGCAAACTGAGTTTTTTTACAGAAGAAGCAGCAAACTACACCTCTACTGTAAAAAAAACCAAAGCTGGTATACAGGGTTAGTTTTGCTCATGATCTCTGGCTTTTCCTTTGTAAGTGAACTTGCTGATACACAACTCATACATTACACTTCCACAGTCTAACCATAAAAGAAACCCCATTTCCACCTTCTCAGGAGCCCTGCTGCCTTAATCAGTAACAGTATGTAAGATGAAACATTAAGCAAATTAAACAGCAAATAAAAATGCTCAGCAGTTCCAAAATGTTTCGAGGCCTACTAGAGGTCAGCGTTTCCCTTGCATAGACACGGATATAAAAGAGATCAACTGACTTGTCAAAAGACATCTCAAAAATGATTCCTGACCTTAGAACTCCTGCTGTTACACACTAGGTTTCTGGTACTCCCAACTTGTAATGCTGCCTTACATACCGACATGAACTTCTAATGCTCCATCATCTCAAAATACTGCTCAGAACCATTTCACCATTACACAAATGAGTCTCTGGCATCTTGGAGGTGTGGAAATAATATTCCACGGAGGAGAGAAATGCAAAGGCTTGCCCAGCAGGACAGTGCCAAATCTCCCTGATTGCTACTAGGAACTATGGAATGCTGTGAAATATCCAGTAAGCCATCAGAAAGACAGAAATACTGTGGCAGCCATGGTTAAGTCTGTAGTGCATCTTTTTGAACCACTCAATTCTTGATTTCTAAATTACTGACCACATCTCTCTTTTCGATTGTTGTAGGGTAAGATGCGTGCCACCCTTTGCTGCTTATACATGAACAACCACCTACACTTGTCTGCTCCACAGGACTGGAACCTATTCTCTGTCCTCTCAGGGTCCAACCTCCTTACTTTGTAACTCCTTAACCCCGCTGTTCCATATCTGAACCTTACAGCTCACACCTTTATTCCCCTCTTCCTGCCCGCCCCAGCAGAAGGTAATGGTTAAAGGGAAGGCTGGAGTTCATTAACATTGTCATACACAACAATCTGATGTATTATTATTCCTTATATTCTTTCACCTCTCCTTTTGCATAATAAAACCACTCAATTTGCAGCTGTGTTGTTTGCAATTTGTGGACAAATTGCAGCGGTGTCAATCATGAATAACTACTGAACTTTGAGACAGTGTATTAAAATTAAACTGGGATAAGCAGTACCAGCCAGGAGTTCATGTAAAATTGACTGATTTCAATACATAATTAACCAAGAGCGTGACTCGGTGTCACGAATGGAAAATGAGCAAAAGTTCAAGCTGAAATGCTCTCCCCATGCCTCCCCTAACATTAAACATGGAAGGTTGCACTGCACCTTGAGCTTCATCATGGAGTCCTGGCATAACTTGTCTCCCCGTGCAGCTGAAACCTCATCGATCCCAATCAGCTTTGCTTTGTATCGGACACCGTCACCTTTAAACCTCTTTATTAAAGTGGCTTCACTGCGATCCTGACCTGAAAAGACATAAGGGAAACAGTGACATTTGCAGGCAAATAAATGAATAAAAACTCCCAATTAAGTAGTAAATCAGATCCAGCTCCTACCTCAACGTGCGAACATTTGAATAAAATTAGAAGAAAACGTACAAGTTCAATAAAACCTTTTGACCTTACCGCCTCACACGAATTCACAGTGGAATTGTTGCCATACAAAATCTCCTGCACAAAATTTGCACACAAATTAGGTTTACGGAAATAAGAGATAAGCCCGAATCAGACCTGACAAATCTGAACACTTCTGATCTTCCCGGGTTGTTTTAATCCCGATACACTTGAGAATTCTTCATTTTGCAGACAAAACTCTAACAGAAACGTGCTGCTATTCCCTCGCATTATAACTTATCTAACCGTATCAGCAATACTCAGGCTATTATCATTTCAATAATAAAAAAACAAACGATGTTATTTCCTTAAAGAATACGGCCGCTCTAAAACCCACACAATAAACACCAGCTCCTTGTTCTATTCTTTCTGTTGGCAGACACGATACAAAGGGCCATCACTAGCAGCGCTGGCTCTCACACGCTCAACCTGAGAAGCTAAAAAATGGCATGAGATGTTTCTTAATAAAAAAGCAATCACAGGTTAATAAAGCACAGCGCTGATAGGGTCAGCATACATAAACTACTATGTGCAGACCAGACTGAGTTCACAACCACGGCACTACAGCGACGCATGAAAGGCATTCTGACTGTAGGAATATGAGCACTTATCAAGCTTTGGATCCTCAACCCTAGCAAGTGTTTGCAGAGGGGTTTATTTTGTGTGATCAGTCTTCCTAAAGATGTTTTTGTCTGCTGTCTTTGGATTTTTGTGCTAGAATCTGAAACAAAAAGCAGCAGCGAGCTGTAAATAATTGCAAGCAAGCAAGCAGCTAAAGGCAAATACCCACAGCACAAACAAGCAAACAGAACTGGGACATCCTGAAGAACTGGACATTTTTGGCCCTCAGTGGATTCCAGCAAAATACCTGAATCATAGAATTTTCTGGGTTGAAAAGGACCACAATGATCATTTAGTTTCAACCCCCTGCTTTCTGCAAACACCAGACCAGGCTGCCCAGAGCCACATCCAGCCTGGCCTTGAATGCCTCCAGGGATTGAAGGAGGCCAAATACTTGGTCCAAACACAATGTTGTATAAATTCATACTGCCAGCAGTGAGGAGCTCCAGCCACAGAGCTCACCTTGTACTTCTAGGTATTGTAAAAGAGGAACAAGAAGCTAGAGACAGCTATCCATAGGTAAGTCTAGTTTTAGACAACTGCATTTGAGAATTTGGGCCCCAAACGTTCTTCAAACTTATTCCTAATTGGATAGTCAGATTGAAGCACAGAAAAAATAGTACTCAAAGGAACAACAACAGCAACAAAAAATTAATAAAATCTGCTTTAGCACAAATAGTTTTTGATAAGTAGGACAAAGTTAGGAGGAAAAAGCTCTTTTGTTTTGCATTTATATTAAAAAAATCTTTGTCAGCAGGTCAACTTTGTGAGCTTTACACACGCACCAAAAAGGATGAAGAAACCTGGCACAAAGCTATGGCACTGAAATTTCTACCATCTCACCATGGGAAAGGATAGATAGCATACATGACCAAGAAAGAATACTTCCAAATGAAGAGCTTCATTTGTCTCTCCTTCACCCAGCACACAGCACAGTCCATGCTGTGAACTAAGAAAGGGCTAAATGTTTGTTAAACATGCTATTTTAAGCATGTTGAGGTCTTTGAGTGTGTTTGAGCACACAAATACCATTTCATTCAATGACAAGGATCTGCCCAGAGCAATGTCTTGATGCCTTATTTGTAATTCCTAAAAATAAGGCAGCTGAGAAGGGATGCTGTGCTAGTTCAGGGGCCACCCGACTGTCTCCTTTGATTTATTCTCACTCCTGCTCCCTCAAAAGGAAATAAACAGCAGGTTGAAACTTCATGCTCTCACATGGTATTTAAAGAATAAATAACTAAATAAAAGAAAGAAACAGAACCCCACAAATGAGGCACGAATGATAAATCTGAAGCTTGAAGTAACGTTAACAGCTCGTCTCGGGGGAACGCCCAGGCAGATGTTGGCACTGCCAGCCAGAATTGATGAAAAAACCCTTTCCTCTTTCAGCCCCCAATGTTGGGCAGGAGGGAGAACATCTGGAGACACGACAAACTACAACGATCACAGTGGACTTTTCCCGTATGTCTCCTACACTTGCAAAGATATCCTGTTGATTCGCAGTAAATAAAATTCAAATCCACCAGCTTTCTTGCCAACAATTTTCAGCCTTACGTCTTCATTATAGCAGAAGGCAGCTGTTAGCTAATAGTAATATTGCTGGGACTCTGTGCACGTAAGCATTGCAGAGTGTTTCCTGAGTCATGATAACGAGCGTGCATTCACCCAGTTATTTGAACATTTGTACTTATTCCAACCTATGATCTATTTTTCAGAATGAAAGTAAATCTATGACATTAATAGCCCATTCAAACACAACGTATGGCTGTGTTTGCCTACGCACAAGCCTCGTGTTAATTATGACCCAGATTAAGTAGGATAGAGTGGTTTGGGGGATAAATGACTGGAAAAATCATCAACCTGAAAACGATGTCGATATTTTAAACTGTGGTGGAAACTGCAAATTACTAGAGACTACAAATTCAGCCATAAAAACCCTTAAGCATATGTCCCACGTAAAGCATAGAGATGCACATACGTGCTGCCCTCTGTTACAAACCAGCCATCTGCAACTTGTCCCTCTCCTCGCTGTATGGCCACATCTCCTCCATCCACATTCACAATAGCTTTCCAAATCCTGGTGCTGCAGTTTGCACTGGAAAGCTTTCCACCATTCCTTACTAGACAACAGAGCAAAATTAGAACATGTGTTTAATGAGAGATACTTATTTCTATAAACGTGTATTTCCTCAGGTTTCCACTTTAGGGTGCTTTTTATTTTTTTTGAGTATGCAGACCCACACACTTATGGAAGCCACAGTGGGTGGTAAGTTCATGTGCACCTCAGCTGCCCACCATCCCCTGTACAGGAAGGGATCTTCATCAGATGACCAGTATCATTAACCCATTCTAAAATGGGTTACACTTCATTACCTTCAAGACCAATGGTTATTGTCCAATGAGCTGCTCTCAAACTCCTTCACATATAGCTTTTCATGAACCAAACATCCCAGGCACTTGTTTGCAACCAAACACAAGCATCTTACCATCCAGAAGGAAACCAGAATTGATGCTCAGGCCCTGCACTGAGAAATGAATGCAAAAGCAAAAAGAACACTAACAACAGTGTCACACAAACTCAATTTAGAAAGGTAATGACTTTTAATTAGTAAGCATGCTACTGTTGACATAGGCAAATAAATGTTTTGTTTGCAGCGTATGGATTTGTGATCCTCAGAGGCGCTTTAAATGTAAATGTCTGGGAGATTATTGTATCTACTCCTCTATGTGCCACTGCTCCCCTTGAAGCCACACATATTCCAGCCACAGCCACTCCCTGCTAAGGAGCAAACATGGCCTTTGCTGCAGGGCTGCAGCTTTGCACTTGGATTTGTGCAGTCCTAAGAGCACCACAAATCCCCAGAGTGCTGTGATGCAATGTGGCCCTGTGTTGGCAGCTGGTTTAGGCTTCCCATTGCAGCAGGTTTAGGGAACTTTATAGATCTCAATAAATCTATCGTAAAAGTAATAAATGAGGTTTTAAATATATTCAATCATTTTCATCCAAGGCAATATGCCCTTAAGATGCCTTCACCAAGCTACAGACAGACTCGAACCCCAAACCCAAAGTACTCAACCTAAGTGCCTCAAGAACACTCAACCCCAAGATGTGACTGTAAACTAGTTCTCAAAGCCCACTTACGTAGTCCAAGAGGAAAATGAGGCAGAAAGTCCAGCTCTGAGCAGCCTGGGCAGAGTGCCTGAAGATGACTCACCTTCACCTCAATACAAGTCCAGGACCAGGCTGTAACAGCTCTCAGCCCCACAGAGCATTGAGCCAGCAGTGCAGTAATATGCCAACGTGTTGAGCAACCCAGGAGACTTGTAAGTAAGGGTATTTCACAGGCAGAAAAAGAAAATAAAGCAGGGCATCGCAGCCATAAGTGCACTGTTGCTTTTCCTGCACGCTCTTCTAACATACTACGTATTCTTCACAGCATCCAGCAATCTAAACCAATAGCCCTGGAAATGGCTATATCCTTTATTTAAATGTGTGAAGCCCTCAGGGTATAATCTGAATTTCTTGATTTTATGACCGTAAAATATATAATGATATTATCACCAAAGTCAATAACATGCTCCTGGCAATCAATTCGCTGAAGAACGACACACCAGTGTCTGTTATTTTTTTTTTTTTTCTTTTCTAACTAATAAACTGTCAAAGTTGTATTCATCACACATTCAAATTATAAACCTGAAATAACACCGCCTTAGATCTCACAGGGTTGCAAAACAATCACACCCGTGCTTATAAACAGCCTACATCTTCACGGGGACAATTAGCATTTTTATAGCACCGGTGCAGAGGAGAACACAAAACACTGCAGTGCAGAGTGACCTCCAAGACATGGCACGGGCTGGAGAGCCGTGAATTAATTGCTTAGTGAGAGATGTTTCCCATTAGCTGTGCCCCTATTTCCACATCTATATATTTATCCGTACTTCTTTGTATTTGCACATATGCATACGCACACTGCACGCAGCTTCATTTGGTAGCAATTACCTAAGAAAATTCATGGTAATTTTAATCAACTACAGATTTCCCCAGGAAGAGGGGAAAAAAAAAAAAAAGCGCATAAGTAGGTGTTAAAGAGAAAATATTCACACATAATTATATGTACCTTTCAGTATAGCAGCCACTGAGAAGCAGTTCACAAAAGAGCCATGAGCAGCTCAGACGGGCCCCTCTCCTTGATGGCACATTATTCTCAATGGTTGCACAGAACCAC